TTTTGCTATACGTGCTCCTCTTTGCATTCGAGCAAAATTTAGCACATATTACTGTATATTAGTGGGGGGCATGTCTCCGGATGGAGACCTCGTCTCCGTCTGGAGAACCTGTCTCCATCCCGCACATAGGGACAGGATATGGGCTTATGTTTTTGCTATACGTGCTCCTCTTTGCATTCGAGCAAAATTTAGCACATATTACTGTATATTAGTGGGGGGCATGTCTCCGGATGGAGACCTCGTCTCCGTCTGGAGAACCTGTCTCCATCCCGCACATGGCGGAGCCGCGGAGACGCTGTCTCCATCCGGAGATATTCCGGTTTCCTGATGCAGGGCGAGCTGCCAGCACGTTTTGTGGTATACTGGCCCGAGAGGACCATGCTGCCCAGAGGACCATCCACAATTGTACATATAGCTTGTTACGCCCGTCAGATCCGCCACGTATGTGGATCGCAGATGTATCGGGGACAACCCGGTCTCGAGTTCCGAGAACATTTGATCGGATCTCGGAGGTGCACTCTGTCTCCTCTTACAAGGGGCAGGAGCTAGCCTAATGCCAGATGTCTGTTGGAAATCATAGTGCCTTTGAGATACGAGCTAGTAGTATTCGATACATATATAGATGACTAGAAGGTCTAAGCAATCTAATAAATAGACGGCATCAACATCGAAAGAATTGTACCGTGAGTACGAAGACGAAAGGGAACACTATTTGATACAGTGGTTGTGCGACATTATTGAGCTTGTAGCGGTGATGATGCTTTGCGGTATAATAGTTGTTCAGTCAATGTTGCGCCCGGATTGCATCAGGAGAGTAGCGACGATAGCGCATTCGAGCAGACCGAGTTCGAGAGCTGCGGCGCTGAGCTCTAGAGTGACGGTAGAAGCCGTCTTCGATACCTTCCCGAGTACCTGGGGGACGGAAGAAGTGGTGGTATACAGCTGCAAGCGCAAATGAGCTTTTGGATGTGTGGAACCAGTGTATTCATGACACTTACCAGAATGTGACTGCCGCTGGGTGCCCAGGCATAGCGGGCGTTCTGCACGGTCATTACTCTAGATCTAAGGCGGGATACAGACATCAGAAGCGCTGGGAGAAGGTATGACTGTGGCATACCTTGCGTCCGGAGAAAGCGCGAGCCAGCTGCGCACTTCCTGCTTGGGCACAATCCCGCGGATCTCGACGGACGGGTGCGTCTGCCACTCTATCACTCCGAGATTTCTACCGTCACGATCCTTGACGAACGTGTACCGAGGAGTCGTCTCTGTCGAAATATAGAAAACGGTTCTCGCGCGGTTGTCCACTATGGTGCAGTTCAAGATCGACGGGTTGTAGTCGGTGAAGACGAAAATCGCTCTGTCCGCCAGAGTCGGCGAAGGGGCACTTGATTGAGGGTACGGCAACGCGCCGAATATCGATGGCGGCGGCGCCTCCGAGTTGCCCCATCCACCGAAAGGATTATAACCGGTAGCCATTGCGTGTGTTGTGTAGTTGTTTTGCTTGCTTGTCAGAGTGCAGGCGCGATCGCGCTCTTATAACAAGGCTCACTGCACGGGAGGAGAAGCTGAGAAACGGCGCCGGAGGACAGAAGGAGCTAGCAATTGCACAAATCATGTTCCAGAGGAGGTGGCGTTGGTACACAGAGCTGGAGACGGGCTGCCACTCACACTTGGACGGAGGGAACTCTAGGCGCCCACACGGACATCTCGGTCGGTGAGGTACGTCGAAATGTTGGCGATTTCGACCAAGTTGAATACCTTGAGGTACAGTCAAGAGGGCGGTACCCCGCGCAACAACCCATTCGGAAAGACCGCCGTATAGATGACGTCTAATGAGCCTCAATCTTTGCACACTCCGCCCGAGAAGCGCACTTTGAGCCGGATGATTGGGGTATCTCCGGGTGTTCGCGAGCCCGCCGTTCAGCGAGATTGTTCACTAAGGACGACGGTTCAGTGCATGAATGTACCATGATCTGCCCTAGACATTTCCATTGCGGCGCCAGGGCGTAGGGGGGTATTTCTGCGAAGCGTAAGCCCTCTCTAAAAGACAATGGAACAATTCTTCTGGTCCTGGATTAACCTGCACGATGGCCATCATGACGGACAGCCGCACGAGATGTGGCGGACGTCGGACTTCGGTAGCGCAACTGAAGTCAGGAACAAGTGCAGAATGTCGAGGTCCGAGGACAGCGTAAACTCCGCATCCGGCAAATGTTCGCGTGGGAGCCACCTGGCAGCCACGTGGGCCTGCTTCCAGTCGGGGTTAAGGCAAGGCACTGCTCTACCGCCGTCGTAACGTGCACTGGCGAGCACTGACGTTCCGTTTGTCATTTCGTGTTGTTCTATAATTTCCGAGGAGGAATCCTGAGCAGGCACTTCAGTATAGCAGTTCCGGCTTACGACGCGCTGACAACTGCTCTCAGAAATCCCGAACCATCCGGTGTACACGTAGAGCGCTGACTGCAGTACTCCTACGTTGGGTCCGAAACAGTGAACCGGGTACCGACAGTTTCGCCGTCAGAGTTTCGTTATGCACTCCATTCGCTAACCCTGATTATGTTGTATTTCTGGAATCCGGCCGGGTTACAGTACAGTAGATGCCACAAGAAATCTCGCGAGTCCACCAGTCTTCTCTCGCCTCAGCTTCCGGAATTGGAATATTGAACCTGAGCGCAGCGCCTTGGAGACATTTGGCTCGCCCGGTGTTTTGACACCCACGTCCGGCGTTCATGTGTGGCAGGGACGTCGCAATAGGATGAGAACTATCCACGGTGCCTATCCGGCACTTTGCGAACCCGTTCGACAGAATGCGGGCGCTATTGACAGAACGTGCTCTCAGATCTCTGAGCCCCTACAATCTGAATCGTGTGATCGAGCGCCCGATACCGATAGCATTGATTGATACAATCAGAAGAAGACAGCTGATACAAAGAATCCGCACATTGAGGGTATCATCGTACATTGAATCCTATCCTTATTCGTCACTCGTCGTCCTCGTCCCAGTCGACGCTTTCCATGATCGCCTCGCCCTCGTCGTGCAGCTTGCTCAGCCCGGTAAGCTCCTCCAGGTACCCCGGCTCGTTGAACGCCTGGAGGAGCATCGCAAAGCCGCGCTCCTCGTACGCCTTGAGCACCTGCATGACGATGACCGCGAGTTAAGTCCGGTACGCAATCATATCCAGGCAACCAACGCACCGTCTCGCTGCACCCGGTGCACCGATCATACGCCGCACCGGTGATGAGCATGTTCCTGAACTGGGCGAGGAATCCGCGCAGCTGATGCGGCACCAGCCCGAGGATGCTCCCGGAGGTCCCTGGATCTGGCAGCGCGTTCCCCGGCTGGGGTGGCGGGGCGGGCGCTCGGATGCTGTATCCGGAGCACGTCAAACAATCGCGGGAGGAAAAATGGTGTCAACGTACCCGTCGGGGTGCTGCAGGAGCGAAGCCAACAGCTCCACCGCCGTCGACGCTGCTATGGAGGCGAGCCCCGGGCGCGTGACCGTGCACATCTGGTCGAGCGTCCGGTCAGTCAGAGACTGCCATGTCAAACTTGTGTCAGGAGCTATGCATTTCTCGTGGCGGGCGGGGTTTACGTACGTCTGCGGGGGCGACGATGTCGTTGCAGTAGTAACAGCCCAGGCGCGTTCCGGCGGACGTCGCAGCGCGGGGGCCGTGGCGCATCACGAGGAACGTGTCGAATCCGAGCGCGGCGTTCATGACAATCTAGAGACCTCGTCATGCTGTCCGACACTTCCGGTCACAACATAGAACTCCTCACCTTCCCCTTGGAGGCTCCCAGAACTGTTGGCAGCCAGCGACTCTCCCGGGAATCCATGAGCAAGAAAACAGCGTCGTGCTCGTCAAAGAGCTTCTCGAGCTGCGCGACGTCCTTCTTCGTCTGCTCGACCGAGCCCGGCGGGACGGGGTGGCCCGGCATCGGGATGGAGAGGTTATACCCCGCCGCGTCGACGCCCGGGAAGATCTTCTTTAGTCGTGCCGCGGCGCACGCGGCCTTGGGCTTGCCCCCGTCGAGGCAGTCCTCGAACTCGAACAGCGGCTGCCGCACGGGGTTCGAGAACGACACGCGCGCCGAGTCGACGAACGTGATCTTGCGCACGCCCCAGCCCTGCACGCGCGCCGACGTCAGTGTCCGCGAACGAGAGTGTCGGTAAGCGGCAAGGCGCACGCACCATGAGCGTGCGCGAGACGTAGCACCCCAACGTCCCCGCGCCCAGCAGGAGGCACTTTGTCGCCGCGATCCTGTCGAGGTCGAGCGCGGGCAGGATGCGCCAGCGCATCAGCTTCAGGTTGAGGTCCACAGCCTGGTCGGCGAGTCTCGAAGCACCCGTCGTCAGCGTGCCGTCACCCGTCCACGATCGCGAACCGACCTACCTCGTCGGGTCCATCATCGGCGCGAGGTCCGCCACGCGCGGGCCCAGCTTCCCCTGCACGTTCTTCTCCCACCCCACCGCGCTCGGGCGAGCATCCGTTGCCTCCTGCGGCACGCCCGCCTCGACGACCCCGAAGCGCGAGCGCCAGCCGGAGCCGGCGTGCGGGGGCTCGGTGTCGCGCCAGCAGAGGACGCGCAGGGAGGCGGTGGTGGCGGGCGAGAGGGAGCGCAGGTACGCGAGGAGGTTGCGCAGGGGCCAGCCGGGGTTCTCGGGGATGGCGGAGGGGTCCAGGAAGCCGACGAGTTGCTGGAGGGGGTTAGTGATGGCGTGAGGGGTGATAAGGAGGCCAGGGTAGGGTCAACGCAGATATCCGGGCGTTGTAAACGGAAAGGGGGGACGAGATAGAGTAAAAGGTGCGTACCGAAGACGGCGGCACACCTGCAAAGAAATCCTCATACCTCTCTACGGACGCCACCTCGGGCACCTTGCCGTTCGTGCGGACCAGGAAGTAGGGCTTCAGGGACTTGGCCAGATCGTCATGGATAGCTTTCATCTGCGAGAAAGTCTATCAATATCCTAGCCATCCGCCCACACAGCGAACGTACCGCTTCATAAGATAGCACTGTATCCGCCGCTCTCCAGCCATCCGTGATCTCCCATGCAGGCTTCGCTACGAAGCCAGGAAAGGCGAACCAGTAGTAGTACTTGTACTTTTTCAGGTCTGCATACGCGATGAGGAGGAAACGGTTGAGGATGGAAGGGTCCTTGTTGGTCATGACGGCTGCCCAGATCTATGCAGAGATTAGCGGTGCAGAGCCGCAAAGCCAGCATTCGGGCGTACGCACCTCATCTGCAACCTTGTTGAACAGCGCGGTCTTGTCCGCAGCCTTGAACTCTTCGATCGTGTTGTAGTTCTTGAAGACGCCAGTAGCCGGAACCGCGTTCGGCGGTGCGCTGAGTGGTTGGATAAGGAACCAATGCAGCCTCGCTCAACCGAAATACTCACTGGAATTCCTTGCTAAACGCGTCCTCTCCGACACTCAGGTTGCAGCCCAGCGCGATATCGTTGCCGGTCTCGCGATCCTTGATTGTCTTCCCAGCCGAGTAGTGGCCGTGAATGGACAGGCTCTCGTCGGACAGCTTGAGGACATCGATCTTGAGCTTTGTGAGCTCGTGCCAGAAGGACGGCTGGACGAGCGAGGAGAAGGGCGCAAACTGGACGATGGGCATGGTGCCCGTGCGTGGTGGTATTCCCGCTACCTTTGGTAGTGGGTTTTGGCGTCCTTGATGTGGACAACTTACATAGTAGATTTGCAAGATCGGGAGAAACCTGCCCTAAAGTCCCAAATAAGGGAAGTATGACATCAAAACATATCCCACAAGGAAACAGAGGGTATTGAATGCCGGCCCACTGACACAGTAGTGACAGGCAGAGGAACTTGAACACTCAGGCAAGAGGGATGCATAAAAGTGGCAGGACATTCAATTCATAAGGAGTGGTTGAGACCGGGGATTTGAAGCTTGAAGAACATGACTGCCTTGTTCAGTTCTGATACAAATTTCCGAGACTTGTGGTGATATGTTATACATGTCCTGGACCATAGGTCTATGAAATTATCAATACATTGCAGGAAGTTGAGGAGCCCCATTTGAAGCTGCTGTCTACACACAGTTCGAGTCAAAGGTAGCGGGTTCTGCTGCGCACGAGTGCGGCCCTGCGGCCTTATACTCGGAAGAAACGCGTCGCGTCGGGACGCGGCACTTGTCGCATCAGGTCTTTATCAGTCTCGTTCTTCTCTCGAGACGTCCAACATCTCCTTGGGCGTCCAAGTCTCGAGTCTACCTCCAAGACAGCCTACGACGATCTCATGCTAGAGTGTTCCCAACAATCGAATTGCAACACTGGCTTCGTCGTGCAGGCACGCATCCAAGTCTCACACAAACCGGATTCCTGCTGCGAGCCTCTCGTACTCTGTAAGATCACCGCTTAGTCTTTCTACAATTTGCGATGCAGCCCGCGCCGAAATTCATGTATCCAGTCGACTCTGGTGGTCCTATGATCCATACATCCTCCCAAGGGGCGGACAGAAATAAAATTTTAGACCACGTGCCACAAATCTCAGTTAAGGGTCTCCAGGGGCCCCCCCTTCCCCCCGTGCGACAGTCTCACAGTACATAAAGGGAAGGTATGTCACACAGCAAGCAAGGGTTAGGGCTACTTCGTCACAGGGGGTGTCACATCTACTTCGGTCACAATTCATATGTTTTCTGGTGATCGCTACCAGGGGTCATTCTTTCTCACCGCTTTCCTCTGGGATACTTCAGAAAGGCATTTAGGTTGTTCAAAAGTACCCAATAATGTGCCAGATACCTGCCCGTTATCCCCTTACCCCAGATGGCTGGGCGCTAAACTTATAATAAATCTCAGTTAAGGGCTCCGAGGTCCCCCCCTCCCCCTGCATGTGGTCTCGGCATCTCCCGGTGTCCGCCCCTTGCATCCTCCCGAAGGCGCACAGTTATGACGCCTACTCTGATGATTCTGCTCACCTATAACTGCGAGACGTAGTATCGTGAGCAACGTTAAACTGTTCTCTAAGGATTTGCAGGGGAATATCACGGCAGCATCCTTATTCTTTTGACACACCAACCGGATCAGACTATCACCTCCAATAGAATGAATCGCATGTTACAGAGTGTACAGGCACCTGTAAGTACCAAACAATCAAGCTTTCATATCAGTGCTTCAGAACTGGAGATGCGGGTTAGATTGCGAGGCTCCGAAGTCAGAAGTCTACTCACACCTCGAGAGACACAGACCTGACTGAGCCAAGCTCACATTTCTTCTACTTCTCTGCTTCTCGAGTCAGAGTATATATCCGCAATGACAGACATCGTGAAGCATCATATGAGTGGTCCTGTCGAGCTAGCGTTAAAGGTGAGGGGTGGAGCGTCGTTAGTAGAAGGAACACACTAAGGGCATCCATCAAGCGCAACCGTGTCAAGCATTACATTTCGCACTCGAATTCTGCCAGCGGAATGCCGACAGACGCAAAGACACATCGGTGTTGTGTTGAACAAGGAAAATTATGATTGGGCATGCGGTAGTTAATTACATCACCTTTGGTGGTGTAGCTTTTCCTGCGGCGGTCAGAGATGTGTTGAAGGTCCAGCCAGGTATTTAACCTGGCAACTCCGAAGGCTCCCTCTTGTCCGTGTATGGTGCCATAGACAGCGCCCTCAGGCTCGGAAGCCAGATCCCGCCAGGAGTCCTTAATAATGACAAAGTCGTGTGGCGACTGGCGAGATTCACCTGTTTGAGGGACTGCTAACCACACCTTCGTGCTTAGGGAAAGGAGTTGCTTTGACGCATGGAGAGTGGGGCCGACAGACACGTATTTCTTTTCTTCTTCGTTTGGTGGGCATACAGAGATAACTTTGCTGCGTCTGCGCAATTCTTCATCCTCAAGTTGCAGAGCCTCCTCTCGTAATAAGCCATGCTCCTTGGCCTCCATATAGGCGGAAAGGTCGAGCCTCTCTATTGTGGATGGAAACTTGATGCTCCAGTCCTCACCCGTACCAGGATATCCCTCCGCTCCTATGCCAGCCAGAAAATGCCACAGAGATGTTGGACGCTCGTTGTCCCGGAAAGGCTCCGTAACTAGGACGGACGAGCGATCCCATCGAGCAAACTGAGCCTCAGGTCCAGTTACGCAAAGAGATAGTAGAAGACATCGTGGATGGCAATGGAATGCAACGGACGCTTGTCCGTATATTCTCTTCCAGAGCGTCGCATTAATATTTCCAGGCACGGGAAAGGGGGTGGAAAAGTGTTCTTCTTCGCTCGTAAAAGAGCATCGGAGCCAAATTGGACGAAGCTTAGACCTTCCATCCACCGGTACTCGGAGCTGTTTTGAAGGTGGGAAAGTAATCGTTGCTTGTGGAAGCTTCACAACGAAGTGGAGATACCCTGGGCCAGAGCGCCCCAGTCATTACCGTCAGTGCGTCAATCTCCAAAGGAATATCGTGTCACGGAATGCAAGGCTGAGGAAGGGGCAGTATTTACCAGAATACGGCGCTTGATAGGAAGTGGCTGATTTTTTTGGTCTGAGAGCATTTACAGACAGGTACCGGAGTAACGAAATTATCTGTCGAACTGGATGAATAGACATGGGCACTTGGTACTTCAGGCGCTGAACATCAGACAGGCTGAGGTAGTAGCACCAAAAGTACCCTGTCCTCATGTACATTCACTTCTTTCTAATCGATAGCCTCACCATGTACGCAAATAGGTACAGAGGTACTACTAGAGAGCATGAACGCACCGAATGGAATTGCCCCCCCCCAGACTCGTTCCACAAGAGTACGCCGTGATCGGCATGCGGTACCTATTCGCGATGTGCACGATCTTGACGACGTCCTCCGTAGCATGGGGGGGTCACCACAGCAGTCGGCGCATGCACTTCATTCAAGTAGTTCAGAAATTTAAGGTGGCATATGTGAACAGAACAGACGTACCCCGGTGATAGTCGTTTTCCGAATACCCGTGGACGTGTAGCACCTCAGGGTCCGTCTCCACCATCACCTCTGAATCACCCGCAAAGATGGCCTCTAGCTCCTTGATCGCCTTTTGGAAGTCCTCTGGCGACCCCCATTTCGGGTCCTGCAGCGAATCACTAGTAGTACTAGTTTGCGCGGCCGATTCGGTGCGCGATTGCCTGAATGCGAAGCTATATCCAAGGTAACCACTTGCGAGTGAAACGCCAACTAGAGCAGCGAGAGCTCTAGAGGTGGTCAAAGCAGGTTTCGAACTGCGTAGACTACTTGAAGAGTTGAACCGCGGACGAAAGGTGTTACGATGCGCCAGAGACGGACGCCAGCCAGCTAATTATAATGCGGTCCTAGACGATGCTTTTCGCGATGTCGCTAGCATGGCGTACGTCTATGTCGGAGGCCCCGCGAGAGCGTCAGGGTTGTAGAGAACAGCGAGCAAACCATCGCTTATACACGTCTTCAGGGCTCTAAATAACGCAAAGTCATGAGACCGTCACGGTGAAGATGTCCGTTTTAGATAATTGTCACGATTCCGCTCGGCACGCTGTTCCGTCTTGCCACAGACCTAACCTCGACGTCGCGACTCTCATGTCTCGACAACAGGGCACTTCGGCAGTATCTGTGGCGTGATGAGTTGCGCTCACTCCTGGATATGTCCAAATGCAAATCCCTGAACCCCGAGGCAGTATCAGCTGCCTCATCGATGAGGCATCTGATACTGCCTAAATCATGTTCTGTCCGTCCGGCTCTCTATAGGGATTCCAAACAATAGATGGTAGTCTTCTCGTTTTGAGCGTATGTTTCATCTCTGTCTCGTTCAGCGATCTCCTTCCAAAACCAACCCAATGAAAGTATCACAGCCAACACCAAGTCGAGTTTGTCGATCTGTTTCGATGGTACATCCCAATACTCGGGCTCTTCAACTTTTCATCTTACACGTCTAAGCAAATTTTACTCCATGGATAGACGTGCTACGAACTGTCTTTATGGAGGCTGAATAGAGCATAATCAGTGGAAGAAATACCAAGAATCCTTATTCCTGGAATAGTCGACTGCTATTCCAAAACTCTGAGCTGGAACCGGCAAAGGAATCGGTTTGGAGACAATGTCATGAAGTTATTGCCTTTTCTCGGAATAGGCGCTCGAAATCTCGCCTCTCTTGCCAACTCGTGGCATGGTGGGGCAGACTATCATCATTGCGGAGCTGCTGCCTTATTCCAAACCACAGCTTCAAGTTAGTCTAATCCTAAAACTCGCTGGTATTTCTTCCACCGAATATGCTCTAATGAAATGCTCAGAGACGGGTACTGGTGTGCACAGCCTCCATACTTACTTTTGCGAAGAGAAATTGCTGACTCCCGAGTTTGTAGTCTTGATCAACGGAACAGGTGGGATTAAATTTTTCGGAAAGCCAAAGGTGATTGATCCCTGGCCTAGCCCAAATCATCTCGGGTTTTATCAGGTTCGGAAGCCTGCATATCCACGCTGGCAGTATGGAGCCGTGGCAATGGTGCATTCCATTAGTGTCTCCCTTCGATTTGAGTCTGACAGGCTGATGATCATCACTGGCATCTTGACGCTCGTCACGGCTATTGCGTATTGGTAATAATTCTCACTATAACGATAACCTCGACAGGCGTCGTGACCGGCTTTTGATGTTCAAGGTTCGCATTTCCCGATTCGCCGACCAATGCGTGGTAACTGACGCCGGAGGAACGCGTCAAGGCCGTGAGGCGCATCAAAGTGAGCACGCCGCCTTCGTCAGTGTATGACCGCCTGACTGATCGGTTGAACCAAGGAAAACCGAACTGGTGTTGAGAACCAGCACTTCAAGGGAGATCAGTGCGTCCCTTCCGCATGCGTTCGTGGCCATTGGACCCACCGCTGACTGATCCCCTGATGTTCGAAGCCCTCAGCGACCCCAAGACCTGGCTTTTCGCGCTGTTCTCCGCGCTCGACAACGTCCCGAACTCACTCACCAACCAGCGCCAGATCATCGTCGCGTCCTTCCGGTTCACGACCTTCCCGACGACGCTCCTCGGCTGTGTTGACGGCGCGGTGGAGATCGCGACCATTTGGACTGGGGTGACGATAGCCGCACGAGTGAGGAACGGTAGAGGGTATACGGGCGCGGCATATTTTCTACCATCATTGTTGGGGGTCATTCTTATCAGTACGTTGCCGTGGAGTGATAAGATCGGTTTGCTGTTCGCGCAGTGGCTGTCAGGTTAGTGAGCTCCTTCGAGTGACCGCCAGGGTGGATGTGTTGATGGCACTCGCTGTAATGTAGGTATCAGTGTGACGGGTTTTGTCATGAGCCTCTCCTGGCTGTCGAGTGTTACAGCGGGCCATACGAAGAAAGTAACTAGTAAGTTCAAGCCTAGCAGCCGCAGTGTTACCTACATCGCACTGACGGCCATGCAGCTGGTACGTATCACTCTGTTCTGTTGGATAGACGCTGACTTTGATGTGCTCCGCTAGGGCCGTTCATGTGGCAGCAAAAATACAAACCTCGGTAAGGTAGACTCTCCTGTGTGTGTTCAGCTCATGCCTCATGCTTCTTAGCAACCACGTCCCATGGGCGATCATCGGCGTCTGCTACACAATCTGTCCTTTGATCTTGCTCGTCATCCGCTATATGCTGTGGAAAGAGAACAAGATAAGAGACCAGGAACCTCCGGACGACACTTAGGATAAGGTGTACATCGAGGCTATCGACTCTGAGCGGAACAGCGTGGAGAGGAAGGTGTACAAAGTAAGTGCTGCCTTCATTACTTACAGAGCCTTCTGTTGAGCGCTTCTTGGATAGGAATTTTTGGACTTGACCGACAGGCAAGATATGTGTCATATATATATATATAACCGACCTTGAAAGTCGATCCTTGTTCAGGTTGTTGCCTTGCAGTCTCCGGAGAGATTCGTGTAGGAAGGCAGCTCTGCATTATGCCTTAGGAAAATACATGATCTAGTGCGTGTACGATAACAGATAGTACATCCCTTATCGACTCGTCTAGTGTGTGGAGCCGTAGTAAAAGGCGCGAAAATTGTGGTCAAGGACGATTTGCACGACGGGTACAAACGGGGTCGGCGTCAGGTATCGTACATGTAATCACAAAATCGAAGAACGAGACAAGCAGTACAGGACAGTGATCAGATACAGTACGGGACATCCGAGTCGAGATCAGAAACTTCGTTAGGACATGCACATCGTTCTGCCTTGAGGGCCAGAGACCCTTGCGCCGCTCAGGCTCGCTCGATTGGCAGACCTTCACTTGCGAGCCCGTTTACTCCCCGACGATTGCGCTTTCACCCGGCCCGAAGACTCCGTCCCGTGTACTGAGGGCTTGCGTTTGCGAGAGGAACTTTGGTTCGAACCTCCAGACTGAGCGGTGCCGGACATGCCGCTCTCCTGAGCTGATCGCGTGGTGGTCGTGATTTCTTTTGCTATATCATGCTTCCTTTGCGTCGTCGCATCCTCGACCAGTTCGTAAGGGCGAGCAGGAGGATCATCTTTGGGCCAGTCGGGGGAGTTCAAGGTATCCTCGAAAAGTTTGAGGACCGCGTCGTGCGTCAACTTATTGTAGAATGTCTCGGGAACCCCTGGTGTTTTGAAGTAATGGGTCTGAACCAACTGGCCAAACTGCCGGAGGCATTCAGTAAGAGGTTTGTGTCCCTTGACCTCAACGAAAGTGCAATGGTGAACCAGGAAGTCCGATTTTCCACTTCCATTTTCCGGATCGAAAATGCTGGGCAAGTCAGTGATGTTCGTATCGGCATGACGCCCGACTGTGTGAATCAAGACCCAGTAGACCGATTCTAAATCGTGCCACGCTTTATGTTTCCCATCCCCCTCCTTTTTCCGCTGAATAGCCATAGCGATAAACTGGATTGTCCCCTATAAATGAATTCAGGTCATGGATAGCTCTAAATCCAAAAGGGAGGCGACCACTAACTGTCATCCGTCGTAGATCCGATGTGGCCGTCTCGTCCTCGAGAAAAGCCGCGTATTCGGGGTCAATCAGGAATCCTTTCTCGGTATAGGTTTCGTTGGGATAAGCATTGATCATAATATTGTTGGCGCTGATGTCGCGATGGAGAATGCGCTTAGCGAACATGCCCTTGTGTCCTAGAATTGTTGTGAATTATAAGTATTTGTCGCAGGAAATGGTCTCACCTTTGACGGCGTCACGTACGGCTTCCAGCAGTTCACGCGTTGAGCGAAAGCGGGACAAAGGGATGCCCACAGACTTAAGTATACATCGATAATGGATGCGCTCCGTATACCTGTGTCTAAGACCAGCTTCAACGCGCTCTTGGTTGAGCAACGATGCGCAGGTGCGATGAGTATTATCCTTTGCCTTCGAGGGATGATTGTCCGCCGATTCCTTCGGTGGAGGAGGGACGATATCGATGCCACGTTCACAACGGGCAACACCGAACATATGGCCATCTTTGTGGATCGCTTCGTAGACCTCTGACTCACGCAGACGGTCGGAATCGCGCCACGAGTCTTTTATGATGACATATTTGCCAGGGTCATAGCTTTCGGCGTGACGGGAGTTGACGACCGCGGTTCGCATGGCGAGCCAAGTCCGAGTGCCGCGTCCGAGAAGAGAACGAGACGTGAAGAGAGGCCCGCCTAAGCTAACGTACTTCTCATCCCATCGCGCGTCAGTCTCCTTTTCTTTCTCCTCGAAAGGGACGGAAATCAAGAAACAGTTCGAATGCAGTTCTTCCTCCTTAAGCTTGATCGCTTTCGCAGGATCGATGAGATTGTCTTTCATGGCATCGTCGAACTTCCGCTTGAGGATGGGGCGTGGGATCGCATCGGGGACCGGGCAAGTGATCGTGGTGTCGATGCCCGTGCCAGCGAGTCCGAAGGTCGAGAATCCATATAAAAATTTCACCAAGGGCTTGCAGTCCACCTTGTATTCGAAAGATGTTGAGAATGTTACTTTCGAGCGATCCCACCGGTAGAAACGTGCGATTTCATGATAGAATCCAATCCCCATCAGATGACAGCGAGGTCGGGCCTGGAAAGCCACCGTGGCATGCTCCATCGTCTGATTCCATGTCGCAACGTGACCTTGGGCCATCCGTGGCGTAACTCTGTCCTCCTGGAGTGGATCTTCTGCCCTGTCCTTTTTCACCTCGATAATACCAAGTGCTTGCGTCCAAGGCAGGCCATCACCCTTGTCATTCTTTAAGCGAATGTCCAGATCCGGCGCGATTTCGCGCAGATTCCCGTCGCCACTTTGCAAGTCCCTCGATACATCCTGGACGTAAAGGTCGAGAAGATTGCCGTCGGCATTCAGGGTGTCGAAAACATACTGAAGAGCCTTGCTCTGCGAGGCATGAGAAGAAATGTCAGAAAGATTCGCGGCAGAATGAAAACATGAAAAGCATACGATCCGAGCATACATCGGCCTCTCTCGATTGTGCTTAGGGCCTAGCTTGACTTTACCTAGGCGTTGTTGGAATTGTTCCAGGTGCGTGTCCTTGAAAGTGTCAAAAACCTCGTTGTGCTCGGTATTCGGGAAACAGAGGCTGAGAAAGCTGTCTAGTTTCATCGCACTGTGGGTGTGCTTGGCAGCTTCAGAGCCAGAGACGGTTCTATGAAATCCTTTCTCCCTCTTCGACGACTCATACTGAGTAACGCTTGTCAGACTATCCTGTAATTTATGGGGCGTAGTGTGAGCGGGTTTTTTGGTAATTTTACCAGCGGTGGGAGTCGCAGGAGCGTTGGAGACGTTGGCGGCAGCCGAGTCAGAGGTGGCATCAGGCGTCGTAGGACGTGGCGAGTCGGGTGCGCCAGACGACGGCGAAGGCGGAGCCACAGAAGGGGAGGGTGGCGGGGGAGTCGCCATGTTAACAGCGAGCGGAAAGGGAACGTTGGGTAAACACGCACATATATAGTCCCACGATATTTGTTTGTCATCGTTTGCTGTGGCACTATCGATGGTGGTTGTCGGCTCGTGGTGGTTCGGAGAGCAGACAATGAGCGCCGCGTGAGAACCAGATACCACACCTTTATCACGTGATCGCGTTTGGAACCCCATCACCGTCCTTCAGCCAATCACAGCCACTTGATCCTTTTCCTGGCTTGCCGCATCTCGTCCTAGATATATTTTATGTTGCGACTGCACAGGAGAGAATGTCCTCCAACGCATGCCAGGCTATGTGACATACTATGTTGCAGGAAATCACCCGCCGAGCGCTTTGTAGATTCTACCGGTCTAGTAGAACTATGTACGTTGTAATATTCAATGCATAATACGCATTAGGCTAGTTGACTATTTGTTTCGACGTCTGAGAGGTCTACGGTATACCCATAACCCTCTATGGGCGACGTTCACGTCCCGATGTGGTTTACTTCACGACGGCAATCAGCCGGCGAAGGAATTGTCTATGAATGACTGCCTCCGCTGCCTGCCTCCATCTTCTTTATCCTTCCGCCCATGTCGATCCCCCCTTGTTGCCTCCAGCCGGCTATTGCCAACGATCAACACTTCCCATATGGACAGCAGGGCGTGCATCGTGACGAGCTCGTCCACCCGGGTTGAGACCGTAGGCGGTGATTGCTGTCTTGAACGAGCACCATACATCTTTGCCGAGCGATCTCGCAGTGCGACGTAACTATTTCAACCGAAGCGGCTCTGTTTGACCCCGGAGGTCATTCTACTAGACTCCGACATCGTCAGACCACCACGCATTCTCCGTGGATTCGGTCGCCTGTTGGAGTACGTACGCGTCTATCTGGCGGCTTTTGCCAGGCATAGGCCCCCTCCCTTCGCGTGAGTGTCGGCCTCAGCATCTCGCGCTGCTTCAGTGTGCTCTCAAAGCGGGCCCTGGGAGGCCGGCGAGAAATGCTGAGGCATGGCACCGTCGCTATCTATGTTTCAAAATGACGTGGAAGGGTACGTGCCTCGTGCGGTCATTGTGGCGGGGTATGTAAGCAAACTTGCTTCAGCTATCCCTCAACGATGATCTTGGTTGTTTCTTCCACGTGCCAATGGAAGAGACTTGAAGAGGTCCGATGGTATGAGTCCTTCCAGGTATGTCTCGCGCGTGATGCCTGATCCAGGCCAAGGTAGTAGGTGTGTGGCTAAGAAATGCAGCGGGAAGCTGTTCCAGAGTGTAAGGAGGTCCTCGCAACCAATGCGACAGTCCCGTGCGCATAGCGCAGCCGGTCGGTCCGATGTATCATGAGTGCGTCTAAACTTTATGCTGCCCCTGTCGCAAAGTGGGCGCTGTATAGGTCGACGTCCCTGAAACCACCGCCGACAATGTCGTTTTACTAGCCGGACTCACTGCGACGTTGCACCTGTTAGTTGTTATCCAGTTATGGTCCCTACGGCGTTGAACCTTACATACATCATGCTACGGTTGGAACTGACTGCCGCGGAATGAGAAAACATAGACAATGTGTGTGCACCTTTTCTCTAGGCTTGATCCTGCGCCTCTTAAAAAAGACTTAGTAGACGAGCAACTGTCTTTAATGGAGGCTTGTACCCGTTTAGTATCAGCGTCGCAGAAGTCCCCCCCAGGCTCTCGCGCGTGCTCAAAAAGGCAGGATTCTCCGCCCAAAACGGCAGGTGCACATGGTTGGCATCTGCCGGACCTCGGCACGTATATAGTCTCGACCTCTTCAACGCTTCCTCTACCCTACACCGAGGGTTATACTGCCTATAACGTACGCGCTGAATGCACAAGAGCGCATAGAACCTCATGTACACAATTTCTTTAAAGTGGGGGGGTCGAGGCACTAAATGTGGCCCAGTAGAAGCCTTACTGGGATCAAAAATCACGCTGAGAGAACTGTAGCTTTTCAGACTGTCTCCTACTGTCAATGGGGAGTCCCAAAGCTCAGTAGCTCCTCCTCGTACATTATCTACAGGATAAATTACAACTACTAGGTTATAGTACTGCGAGCACAACGGGGAGTCAACAGCACGAAGTTCCTTGCCGTATATTCGGCAAGGTCCACGCACGTGGTTTACCACTGCTGCGGCGCCCCAGCTACTCGTTTGGGTAGGGGTTCACTTCCAAAAGCGGGCTAAGGGGGGACTTCCCTATGCTGTATCGGAAATATGCACTA